AATCACATTTTGTGTGCATGTACACTGGCAATTGCATTTGTACAAATTGTAGGTATGGCGGGAGTATTTCTTAAAACTATAGAAAATCCCAGCAGATTTGTGGAGAATTCTTAATAGTTGCTACCTGGCAACTTTTTTGGAATTTAACTTGGCATGGGATTACCACATTTTATAACTTCCCATATAGAAAATACATTAGCATTCATCCCAAAAAAGAACTTCGAGTCATTTTCCAGTTGTTGAGATGTACATTTCTTTTGTGAGGAGGTGTACATTTCATAGTGAGGAGGTACACGAAAGATAATCTATGACCCTTAAAATGGTTCCCTTGTAACATACAGGAAGTTCATGTAAAACAAGTCAGGTGTGGTAACAGACACAAATGCCCCGCAACCGTGACTGTTCCCATGACATGACTTCACTCATTTAACATCAACTTACATGTACCTGGGTCACATGGAACGTTCATTGACATCATAATTGTTTTCTGTAGGATATATGAATTAATCCCAATGATCTCAGAATAGATATAACGTATTTCCTTGCTTTTCTGTTGGGAAGTCATTGTATGTGACTTAAAAGTGTGAGTGAATGTGAAGAGATCTTGTACAAACAAGCTGAATTTAAAAAAAAAACAGCTCAGGCCTTCATTTTTAGAAATTCGTGGAGCTCAGTTAATCGCTCTCCTGGGAAATCCGAGGAGCTCAATTTGAGCACCCAAAATTGCTCTCCTGGGAAGTCCGAGGAGCTCAATTTGCATGTTTGTGCTCAAAGTAAAAAATGAATCCAAATCATTTCCTGAAGCCTTTCATATCATGCACACACACTTGCATCAGAACTGAGAAACAGATGCGACTGTTCACTACAAATTGAGTGCTTAATTCATGTCAATTTATTAGGTTTAAGTTTTACTTGTTTGTGAATCATCCTGATGTGGAATTGGAAATAAAAATGAAAAACAAATTGGAGTTGACTTGTGGTTCTTTAGTGGGTTTTTTGTGTTCTATTTTACTTCGTTTTTATTATATTCACTTTATTTTATTTTTATTTTTTGTTTTATTTATTGTTTATTTCAGTTTTTATTTATTGATTTTTTTTTTATCAAATAGTTTGTTTTGGTTTACTAACTTTACTAAAATTTGTTTTTGTTTAAATTTGCATATGTATCATGTGGTGTAACTGTGTTTTTGAGGGGTTCTAAATTTATATCCAAATTGATGAATAGAGCCCCCCCCCCAAAAAAAATCCAATTAATTTAAGTCCGGTCATACATCTGTCAAAGAAATACTTTTTTTGTCACATAAATCCTCAAAATTAGTAAAATAGAAAAGGAAAATAATTATATGAATATTTGGTTTTGGGCACAAAAAATAAAAGGATCGAAAGTAAGGTCACAGAAATGTACAAGTATTAAACGCCATTACAAAATGTCGAATGGTACTACGCACAAACAATGTCACCGTGCACGGGTGGCCAGTTGACCGCCGCGCTTGCGGGCATAGCCCGGTAGTCGACACACGGAAAATCGCTCTGCACTCTATCGTTGTGGGACAAATGAGCTCAACCTTTCGTAAGGTATTTCCAACCCAAACTTGTCAAAAATGAACGCTAGTTTCTTGTAGATGTACCGGAGATCATTCAAAATGCCGTTCAAAAACTCTGGCTCCCTTTGGAATATCACAACTTCCAGAAAAACGATGTAATTTCACACTGTTAATTGTCTGGCTGCACAGTATTAGATCGCGCACAAGTACAAGTAGG